GTGTCCTTTTCTACGTTCGGCTCGTGACTTTCCGAGAACTTAACCTTGCTTCTCTAACTGCCGGACGGACCATCGGTCGTATCGATTTTTTGTGTTCTGCGAAAGGGCAGAATCCAGCGTAACCGTCGTCGAGATTAAATTACAACGGTAATCGTAATTGACGGAGGCCTGCTCGTCGCGAAAGAAAGGATCGATTGTTCGAATCGCTGGAGGATCGCACGCATGTAGGTGAAACGATATATACCGGTGCAGGCAATTCGTTTGTTGCCTTCTACGACGACGGTAGGTCATTACGATTCTCACGCTCCCTTTACGACATTTAACTGTACGCGTTGTCGACGCCGGAACACTGCAAGTTCCCATTCTGTTTCTAGAAGCACGCGAAACCCAAGCGACGACGGGATAGTAAATCGCGCTCGTTCGGTGCTTTGTCAGTTCGCGATTAATGCGTCGATGATTTTGTTCGCCGACGGAGAAACATCGTTAATTGGCATCGAGAGTGCACGGTAATTGGGAATAGGACTATGGAGAACGTGGGACTGTTTCTACGATCGAGTGTGTCACGCCCGGAATCGCTCGATCGCAGTTCGGTTGCGTCATTTCGATTTTCTCGCTGATTCTCGACGCTGAGACTAAACGAGTACGGAAAAGTTGTAAAAAATCATTACGAAACGGTCGAAACAGTTGCATTGAATCGTATGGTAAACCGACGACGAGAAGCATTCACGTGCAAAAGCGAATTGGGTTAGTCGGTTCCGGTTCCGGTTCCGGAGAACGGTAAAAGGCTCATCCAGCGGTGATCTCCCTCGACGTGTTGTGTTGTTAGTGACTCCTTCGACGCGTCTCACCCTCTGGCGGTGCATGAAACATTTTTTCGATTTACCTTCCAACAGGTGCAGCTTAGTAGCCCGCCAAACTTGCCATCCGTTAACCTTTCGTTCATAGTAAACATTGCGATTGCACTGTTGTTGTTACGCTACGCCTTCATTCTCGTCTCTTGGCGTGTTACGTAAACAGGACTCGCGTACTCGCTACAATATTTCTATATTTAGCGGCGTTATGTCACGATGTACTATGCACGGTGCAACTACTTTTTTCGATCGTGTTCGTTCAAACTTTAACGGGGTCGTTGGTATTTTTAGATAACACGAGACAGTCTCTTTTTACGGAAGATTTCAACTATTTCTAACTTACAAGATTTATAAAATTTAATCGAGTTTTAAAGTACTCGTTTCGATCGAGTATTTGGAAAGAATAGAATGGCCGTGCGCGGAGGAGGCTTTCGAGCGACGCCATTAACGCGTTGAATGGGATTAGCAGCGCGGAAAACCATATTTCGTGTTTATGGCTGCGTTTCCTTTCCGTGCGTACACGTATACATCATTGTACGCAACGTTTAACGCGAAATTGATGTACACCGTTTAATTACCATTTTGGAAGCCTGCTCCTTCCGAACATAACCTCTACGCCCGAAAACAATGAAAGTACGCGGAGGTTCTGCGGTGCTAAGCGGTCCATTTTCTTTTCTTTCGATCGTCGTGGTGGTTTTAGTCTGTAACGTTTGTGGGACAGGGCGCATCTCATCGCCGTCGTCGGATTAGCTGTAACTCGAATGGAAATGTGCCAGAATTCGTGCTAATGCGGGACTGATTCACGAACTAGGCCGTCGGACATTATCTCGAGTAATTAAAGTCACACTCACTCTCTCTCTCTCTCTCTCTCTCTCTCTCTGTATTATACATACGATCGAAACGAAGATTCTATTAAAAAATTAATCGTTCGACGAATTTTATTCAGGAAATAACGGTTTTGGTCTCGATTTCTCGAAATCCATCGTCGACTCTACGTCGAAACCTAACCTCCCGACACATATTAGATTTCTCTGATCCTGTCTCGAGCATGCAAACGCGGTTCGATGAAAACTCAAACTCGCTGTCTGTATTATATACACGATGGAATCGAAACGAAGATTCTATTAAAAAATTAATCGTTCGACGAATTTTATTCAGGAAATAACGGTTTTGGTCTCGATTTCTCGAAATCCATCGTCGACTCTACGTCGAAACCTAACCTCCCGACACATATTAGATTTCTCTGATCCTGTCTCGAGCATGCAAACGCGGTTCGGTGAAAACGCAAACGAAACATAACCACTTTCTTAGGTCGATGAAGTAATCGTACCCGTTCTGGGTCTCCCACGCGATCTAAGCGTCGTCGTGGGACTTTTTTTTAAAACAGAAATCGGTACGCTTTGATTGCGAAACGAATTTCGCCAAGCTTTCATCGAACAGCGTTTCGCGCGCGTCCCGCCGCGTCGCTGGCTGCTTCTTGGAATGTATCGTTTCCGTTGGTAAAAAAATTAGGTCGATCAAACAGCGAGGGTCGCGCCTCGGGACCGGACCTCTCCCTCGTTAGTTACCATCGATCAACCCCTCGTATATATTCGAATTATCTCGTGCGCTAAATACCATGTTTGTGTTCGCATCGAAATTAATAGACCACTATTATTTGGCCTAGCGAATCGAATAAATGGTTGGCTGGTATCTGGTACGACGACCTGTCTCTTGAACGAAAAGAATAGACACTTCGGTGATGCACCATTTACCATGAGGGACGTGGTTTCGTTACGGGTATCGAGCGACGATAGCCATCGATGACATTCCGATCGAAGGACGTCGATAATCGTCCTCGACTCCACCCTGACTTTGTCATTGACAAGGGCAAACGTAAGACGAATCTCTATTTTTAGAGATTGCAGAAGTATTCGTGTATTTGTTATACGTGTGTTGATAACCTCTTAAGCGTAACAGAATCCCAAAACTCTTCGTAGCTTCTGGTTCGCGAAAAGGTAGTTTCTGATCGTGTGCCAAACGCGAGGATAAAGTACCGGTTTCGTACTCGTTATATCCAGGAGCCAAGTTTCACCCTTACGCGAGGAAACTATAATCATCGAACCGCCGGTAGAAAGGGCCAACGTCCCGCCATTTTATTCCCGCCATTTTCGATCGAATCGGCGATATTAAATCCGGTTGAAATGTCGCGAGCTCGTCCCTTAAATCTCGAAGCGTTTTGGTCGATGGCCAAGACCCCTTCGAGCAGTCGAAATTCGTCGACATCGGATATGTATTAATGGACGAACCTCATCAACAGTCTGTTAAAGATGCGTTTAACGACGCCGACGGCGGCTCTCGCGTTCCGACGTTCCCCGGCTTTGCAGCTCATAAATCCCGTCGACAACGAACCCAACATTCGCATCCACTAAAACGCGCCCGGTAATTGGCTCGGCAAGCGGTTGTTCTTGCTTTTACGATGCGCTCGTGTGCTCGTTTTGTCAACTCGATCTCGAATTTTCAACGAAAACTAAATTTCGATATTTTTGTACCTTCGAAATACTTCGAAACTTACACGGAATTCCTAACCTCTTCGTTGGGATGTTCGTTGGGTTTTAGATTTAAAATGTATTTCATGGGTCAAGTTTTTCGAGTCGTCGATCTCGAATTTTCATCGTTTCCCCAAAAAAAACTAAGTTTCGATATTTTTGAACCTTGAAAATAGTTCGAAGCTTACATGGAATTCCTAACCTCTTCATACAGATGTCTGTAACCCGTGTGCGCTTTAGATTGAAAATGTATTTCGCGGGACAAGTTTTTCGCGTCGTCGATCTCAGTCTGATTGAATCTCGAGAAATTTCTGTAAGGCAGTCTCGTCGGCCATTAGCTGCTGACAGGGCTGTAAGAAACGAGGGGGTTAATATCGTGCTTTATTGATTTCGCGTCATGCTAAACTGCTCCCCGGCACCGGCGGAAGCCATATCCGTGTCCCTTCTTTCATTTGCTGTAGCACGAAACTTTTCTTGTGGTTCACGGTCGATGTTTCTGCCCGTACAGCATGAAAAGTCGACTAAATTAATTAAAAACTTGAACGCCGCGGCCCGGATACAAATTTCTTATACACGTGTGCACAAAACGCTTTTCTACGCGAGTAAAAGCCAGTTTTTTCCGTTTTGTTTTTGCGTCGCGCGAAAGCGGCTCGAGCGATCGCGATAAAACTTGAATTTAACCGTCGGGATAGGCTCTTAAGATCGAAACTATACGACGTCGCTAAACTTTAAGCGACAATAATTTGTATATATAAATGATAAAATTATTGTTCTTATGGGAGGATGTGAAATGAACGAAAACAAAATCTTGTTATCCTTTATCTTTATTTATCTCTTTCCACAACTGTTACAAATATTTCCTACTCGCAATACACGTATAAATTTTTAAGAATGAACTCTTGAAGGGCGAGATGTGCCTTGTGGTGACGTAACCGAGGTTATACTGCGTCGTTGCGTTGCGTTGCGTGGCGTCACGTTTCGGGCCTTCTGCATTCGGTTTAGTTCCTCTTCCAGCCGCGGAACGCGCCAGCGCGCCCTTTGACCAAATCTTTCGTGCCCCTTGCATTACTAAACACACAATTGCTCTCTATAATCGTTATCTGACCGTATCGATATACTTTTACTATAAAGAGACACGAGTTCTCGACGCTGGACCGCTTCAACAGCAGCGATTCTTATCTACGCAATGTTCGGAGGCGTTAGGAAGGGAAATCGAGAGGCGAGGTCGACATTCGAAGAATCTTCACCGTCGAGCTAGCTCCCGGTACCTGTTCGTGCATTACCTTCCGTTAACTCCCGTACATACCGTTATCCATTCCTTGCGTTTGCAACCACCAGCTGTGCCGGTCGATCTGGAATTCGCGTAGGTCTCGATCTCCCACGATCGCTCGGAGCGACCGGTCGCGAGCGTGCACGCGCGCGCACACACCTTTACTCTTACTTTCGCCCAACGACCCGCTATTTATTGCCAATCGAGTCGCAGATATTGACCCGATTTTTTTCTCGCTCGGATTGCTTCACGATGATCGTGCCAGGATATACCGATAACCGGTGCATTCGTTCCCTTTAAAACAGTTAACCTATCTTTTACAAATCGTAACTCGATTCGTTTTGCTTTCAGAACATGAAGTGAGAGAATCGAATCTCCTTCAGGGATGAAATCCTGACGAGAGAACAAAGTTTACCATCACGATGGATCCACCAGTTACGAGCAAGGTTCTTCGGGCTCCCAGCCTGAAGAGGGGACAGGAGAACGTCAGGATACAGGACAGGGTGAGCATCGTGAAAAATTACAAGTAGCTTTTTTTGGGGGTGAAATGACTCCGTGATGTTGGTGTCCCTGTGGTTCGAGTTTATTTAAGGCGCCTGTTGCTCGTGTCATGGATCATTGGTTACCAATCATCGAGCTCGTCGTGGGTCGTTGGTCACCAATCAAAGCTGTTTTAAGCGTACAGATTCGATTGGCGATCAGTGACCCACGACGAGCTTGGTGGTTGGTAACCAATGATCCGTGACATGAGCACACGTGCCTTAAATAGACTCAAATTACGCAACGTACCATAATCGGTGCGTCGTTTGACCCCTGAAGAAGCCAACCACCATGTTGGCGAAACGACGAGACACTCCTCTCGAAATCTTCAACCGATATCGTATATACCAGCGTAAAAAATTGATAAATAATGGTTCTCCGACACTTATCGCGTACCTGAGTTTCCGACAGGGATACTTATTCCGTGCAATCGAACATTCGATTCGATATAGAAAGCAACGGAGAGCCGAATGCTCGACGAACGCAAGTTCCCCGTAGCGGATCGCAAAGGCAGCTGACGTCGCCGAAGACAATAGCCGCGGCTCAGCCGTGTCGACTTCTCGTCGCGCGCCGGATGCATATTATGCATCCCTGTCGATGCAGCAGCCAGCCCCGGATTGACGTCACGGCGATTCTCCTTTTTTCGAGGACCCGTTCTCCTCCGTCTGGATCGGTCTCTCGGTGGTTCCTCGCGGCGTGCGTACGCGCATGCGTGTCGGTTCGCTGGCAGCCCGCATTCCGCGTACGACCACTTCTCGACGAGCTCTTCCCGACGCTACAACGCGTTCGATTCGAAGAAAATTCACCGGTTCGCCTCTACACTACTTTCCCTCTCGACCACGTTCCTCGTCGCGGTTCGAATCAAGGCGCGTGTCCACCTACTCTGTAAAGTAAACTGTTCGTCCTTGAATTTTGAAATCTGTAGAATTTTAAGTTTTGTCCAACGAGACAAGGCAACGTCGAACAGCCCATTCGCGACTGATCGATCCGTTCGAACAAGTGGTCGTCGATAAACGTACGGTCTTCGTTACCAGCTGGTCCCGTGGTCTTAAAGGCTACGACGACAGGCGCTCCCTGTCAGTCTGCTCGAGCACTGTTTCTTACATTGCTAGGAAACATGAATCGAACAGTGCAACGATGCTCTGACAGTTTTAACTATTCACAGAATCCCGGAAAATTCTGGACAATATTCCTTTAGAATCAGGAGTAAAATTTAGAAATGGCTAGAGACTATCGTCCAAGAACCATTCTAATCTCGTTTCCAGGACAGTCAATCAGTTTCCAGACATCTTGGAAACAACTTTTACTTGGAAATCGTTCGTCCAGAATTCGGAACTTGTTTCGGTTTGACCGAGAACTCGGCGAAATTCATTTGCAATGCTGTCTCGGAACAGGTGAACTGCTCGCAGCTGGTGCAGGTCGTTGACCGAGTTCGACACACTTTATTCAGCGAACCCTCTGCTTTTACTTTTTCTCGAAAGGGCCATTGACGACGGTTCGACGACCTGGTCAATCGCGGCGCTTCGGAATCCCTTACCCTAACCTAACTTCAAAATCGATGATTAACCTTTTGTTGAAATATTGCACCATTGCATAGAATCCTCTCAAACCGAGTTTAGACCTTTGGACAATTTATACCAACGCTAATTTGCATTCGTTTTCTTCTCGAATTTTCTAACAATGTAAGCAGTCGTTAAATTTCTCATTCGACCAAGCCGCTAGACAAACTTGCAACAGACAGAAGAGAGAGTCGGATGCCCATCACTAGCTACGACTTCCTGTTTTGTCTAACGGTACGATAACACCGGCGATTCTTCCACGACGCTCCCAGCAGCTGATCTTTTGATCTCCCTGCGGATTAATTCGTTAATTTTACGGCCGTGGTATTCGCGAACATTTCTCTGATATTTATTTAGAACCAAAGCACAGATTTACAAAGTAAAACACGAATAGAAATTCTTCATATATTCAAGGGGCGCGGTGCTTTTGTAATTCGCGCCGGCGGTTCGATAAACCCTTTTAGACGTTATTACGGTGGAGATTAATGGCTAATAAGAGACACACCTTTGCTTGCCAACAGCCCTTTCGCGACCCTTGCTATACACGCCAAGCTTTTATCACTGGTCCGCACGTTTTAACAGAATTGCTTCTTCTTATCGCGCGACCCGGGCCTTCCGCTTTTTATTTTTCATTTTAAAAATACAGAAAATTCTTTATAATTGTACACGCTCGTATGCATTGAGTATCTGATCGGGAGACGATGAACTCGAGCAAACTGACGTTGGAACTCGTGTGACCAGAATGGAACGAGCGAATAATTAATTCAAGCACTGATCTGCGGCCATCCGTCGCGTGGAAGCAACGTCTCTTCCGCTTCCGCGATCGGAAATTAGTACCTGCGGGATTCATTATCGGTCGCAGACACGACCTTCTTAATTATGTATTCCGCTGGCCGCCAAATCCTTCGAACGAAATTTGAAATCGATTGTTGCGACTATTGTCCTGGGTGTTCGGTCACCCCTGGGAAAAATTTTAATGGGGAATTCTAGAAGCCAAAAGACGAAAATCGAGAATACCAATTTGTTGACAGTGGCTTCGTTAAAAAGTTATTAACGTTTGAAGTTCTGCCCGTACTGAATTTTTTTCTCGAAAATGCGCAAGATTTCGGGGGTACGTCTATTCACCAAAAATGAGTGCAATTGACCCCCGCAACCAAAAATAATTTTTCCAGAACAATTTGAAATTTTTTCTTTTCCGTCGAAAAATTTCACACATTCTCGAATTTTTTTCTCGAAAGCACGTAGGATTTCGGGGGTATGTCTGTTCACCAAAAATGATTGTAATTGAGTCCTGCAACCGAAAATAATTTTTCCGGAACGATTTGAAATTTTTTTTTTCGTCGAAAAATTTTCTAATTAGATCTTCGGTAAGGAATTTTTTTCTCGAAAGTGCGTAGGATTTCGGGGGTAATCGTAATGACCAAAATTGATCGTAATCGACCCTTGCAACCGAAAATAATTTTTTTGGAGCGATTTGAAAAATTTTTTTTTCGCCGAAAAATTTCAGCACCTTCTCAAATTTTTTTCTCGAAAGTGGATAGGATTTCGGTGGTGTGTGTATTCACCAAAAATGATTGTAATTGACTCCTGCAACCGAAAATAATTTTTCCAGAACGTTTTGAAATTGTTGAATTTAATTGTTAATAACTTTTTAACGAAGCCATAAACGAAAAATTGATATTCTTGATTTTCGTTTTATTTTGGCCTCTTGAGTCTTACATTAAAATTTTTCCCAGGGGTGGCCGAACACCCTGTATAGTAATAGCTGGTCAGTCGACTGCTAGCGAGAGAGGCAAGGGTCAAGAGCTCCCTCTGTCGGCGAGTGCAAGAGTCACCACACGATTTCGTTTCATTTTTCTTTACATTGTTTTATCGTACCTTTTCAAAGATATCATTTATCTCGAATGCGTAGGGTATTCTGTAAAGAAAATAAAATTCCCTAAATTACAGATTTGGTTAGGTACATATTTAGCTAATCCTCGGTTGCGTAGAGCGTTTCGATCTGCAAGCGGTCTCGCTTTCGGAGTTTTACTTTCTTGCGTGCGGATCGATGGCGTAGAATTCCGCGGGAACAAACCAGGCCGAATTCGAGTTACGCGCCTCGTTCTCGAATTTCACCGGCACCGCCGGCCATTTTCACGCTGCCCGGCGAGCAATACGTTTCAGCGTCTCGTCACGCTTCCGAAATCTTGACGGCTCGGGAAGAGGAGGATGCGTTCGACGATGACGGTTCCACGCCGGCCGTGAAGGTTCTCCGAGTCATTCGGAGAATGTGGGTGGGAAATTTCGTATTCGTCGGCCTTAACGATCGAGGACACACGGAGAAGTGCCCACGTACCGTTCCGGCATAAACAAACGTAACCAAGAACGTTTCACGACGAAATGATAATTTTATCGGCGATCGTTTCGAAATACCAGAGAAAAAAGAAATTATTTGTCCCTAAAACAACGTTGAAATCGAGACGAATACATAAACGTCGAGTTTCGATAAAAATGCGTGCGATCAGCGGCCGTGAACGTAGCGTTAAAATCGGTGACCCGCGGGTCTGGCATTTTGCTTGTTAGTCAGAAGTAATCGCGATGCTGTTACACTAAAAAGCAACCGTACGAGGAAATCGTTGGAAAAAGTGTCGAGCGAAAAGAGGGAGAAAAGACTAGACTCGAATGGCCATCGGTGGCAAAGGCCTGGCAAGTGGCAGGTAGGATATAGTCTCTCGAGCATTGGGAGTGGGGGGTGTATGAGATAGTTGGATGGAGGAGTAGAGCAAAGAACGGCTCAGTTGAGAGTCGGACGTTCTCCGTGGCTGTTGCTGTTGCGTTCCTGTCGGCCACGCGACGAGGACCGGTACGGGGAGCAATTACCGCGATTCGCTGATCAATCCGCTTCCGTTACGTAACCGTTGGTCGAGCCGATTTTTCCTTTCCGGTCGTGGAAATCAAATGACGCGGGTCGATGGAAGCTCACGGTCGATGGAACGGTGCAGTTGTGGTCGTCGGGGAAAACGGGACCCGCGAGAGCCCGAGTAGCTGTACACCGTCGCCTTGAACTTCGCCGGTATTTCGGACTCGTGCGATGAGAGGCGTTTGATTTACAGCGACGCGACGCCTCGGCTTATTTACGCGCGTATCAAAGTGTCCTATAAACACTCGAAAGCGACAGTCGACCGAGAGAAGTCGATACCCTCCGACGGCGGGAAGTTTTAGTCGGAGAAATCGCGAACGTTTTACGTGTTACGTGTTACGCGCGAGAGAGGATCCACGCGATCGATCTGTTCTCGTATCGTTTCGATGGAACTGAAGCTCGCGAGTGGTTCGAAGTACGAAGAAAGCGAACGATCGCCGGGCAGAGATGTTGGAAACGAGGGATATTTGCCCGGTGACCGAGAAACTCGACACGCAACGGA